GTTCTGCTGTGCATAAGGTCACTATGGGTCGGTACCTACTCAATGGCACCTAACAACAACATATTTACTATATATAAAATGACTATAAAAATATATACATATTTTTCATTGTTGTTTTTCCTTCCCCTTCACACTATTTGTGTTTCTTTCAAATGTGTTTTTTTTCCTCACTGTTTAATTCCTCCAATGTCTGGTGTTCTTGGGTATCGCTCACGGTTAAAAGGGCCGCCAGCAGGGGCTTGATGGCCCCAGTTATGCGCGAGCTCTCGCTCTGGCACTGCAGCTTAACCTTCGGTGCCACGGGCAGGTGCAGCGGGGTTCAAAGGCAGCGTGTTTTTTTTTAAAGAGCAGAACACTAAATAGTTGTTTCAAGGTCTGTATTTATGGGTGGAACAACTTCACTATGGTCTTCACTTGGAAGGTATAATGACCTTTCAAAGTTTTTCTATGTGAAGGTTCTATCTTTAAATCTTTTTTTTTTTTTTTTTTTCAGCCTGTCAGAGAAAGCTCTTCCACATCTCGTGCCTGGAGGAATATGCCTCGCTGACTGTGTACTAGAAGTTGAATGGCAGAAGATCTCAACATTTGAGTCCTGGTGTGGGCCCTGGTGTGGCGCTGTAGGATCAGCACTGAACTGTGAACCACAATGTTGGTAGTTCAAACCCACCAGCTGCTCCTCGAAAACCCTATAAACGGTCACTATGAATCAGAGCCGACTCGATGGCACTTAACAACCACCACTATTCACTTAATTCCTTTTTTGTCTGTGTGATAGTCCCTCCCTTAACTATGCCTCCCCAGTCAAAACCTTTTCGTTTATCTTTTCTAGATTTGAATGTGCAATCTTTCCCTGGGTGGAGGGGAAGCAATCACTCAGCTGAATGGAGTTGTTGTTGTTGTGTGCCGTGGAGTCAGTTCCGACTCATAGCCACCCTGTACAGGGTTTCCGAGGCTGTAAATCTTTACGGGAGCAGAAAACCTCCTCTTTCTCCTGCGGAACAGCTGGTAGTTTCGAACTGCTGACCTGGCGGTTCGCAGCTCTATTCGTATGGAGTTGGATCTGTTTTTTTTTTTAGAATTTCCTTTTGATTTATCAGTTGTTGTTTTTTTAAAGTCTTTATTGTGAATTATGTGATAGTTTACATGGGAGAACATTATCTTTACATTCATCCTATCGTATTTCATTTCATTGCAATTATTACAATCCCCTACATGCATCATCAAACAACCAAAGCATACACCCTGCATACCTGCTCCCTGGCCGTCAGCACACAGCTCCCCTCCCTCCCTGAGTCTAGATTTCCCAGCTGCTCCATCTCTCCATGTCATCATCTCTGCCTCCATCTGACATCACTAGCCCTGTCCAGACAGGTTGGAAACCACTCAGTGGAGATTCTACCTTTCTCCATACCCTCTGGAACAAGGTTTCCTATTGAAAGCTTGTAAGCCAGTCACTTCTTGCCTTTGTAGCTTTCCCATTTGGGGTAGCCAATGTCTAAGTTGCCCATCCTTGTCGATCCTGTGTACCAAGGGGGTAGGAATAATCCTTACTATAAAGATTTGTTTCCTCCTTTGCCCTGCTGCATCCACAGGCATAGGTCAAGTTCACCAAATTATAGTGGATTACTCTTTTTTTTCCTCTTCTTTCTTCCTGTAGTTGAGTTCTGATCATCCAGCCATTGAAGCCAGATCAAGTGGGTACTATCTGCAAGTGTGGGTGTTCTTGTGCATTTCCTCTCACTTCTTATCAGATGGACGCTTCACTTACTGCTCTAGTACTCTGTGGCCATGTCCTGTTTCTGGGCCCAGGAGTCTCCAGGTCTTGCCATATGCTGGCTAACCAAGTCTCAACCCAGGTTGACAGGAGTCTGTTGAACATGGTCAGACTTAGCTCACAACTTCATTGCTGTTTTTCCGTAGAC